TTTCCGCTTTCTCCGCTTTTTCCGCCTGGCTCCCAATACACAGTGAATGACTTCCGCATGCTTTGTACGCTTTGTACGCGTTTGGTCTGACCGTACAGTAAGTACTCATGATCACTTTCTAAATTACAACTCAGAGCCCTGTACTGCTTAGTAGTAAGCAGGATCAGTAGGCAGTATATCAGAAAGGGGGGAATCAGGCCTGTTTTATAAAAAGATATATACCACTTAATAAAAAAAGTGATTAACCTTCAACAGAACTCAGTGTTTAAGCTGAGTAGTATTAAAAGCAGTACCGACCTCAATAAAAAGCAGTCTAACAAATGCAACAGGACTTTCTAAGTGCTTCAAGACAAAGTGCAGTATCACGGAGATGGTGTTATTGGTGCTGCGTTTTTTTTATCAGGAAAGGTGTTGTACTGATGTATACATTTTTTCTTTAACAATTTACTTGAGAGGATGCTTGTAGTAATTTGAAACCTTTCCATGCATTCAGTAATATCACTGCAAATATTAAACAACAATACTCAAAACTTAGAAATTTGACATGCCAGAAGTTAGAGAAAACAGGGCTTTTATTAAGAGGACAGCTGTGTTACTCCAAACCATTTCTCTGTATGACCCTGGACTGCATCAAAGTGTTACATCAGAATTTATTTTAGTGACCTTACCCAACCTATCTGAAAATTAACCACAGTGCCTGCAGGTTTCAACTGCGAACCATGCATGTATTATAAACTGTATCAATAAAAAGGAAGTATTCTCTGACATGACACTGTAAAGTCTTGCATTTTAATATGGGGGCTTACGGAGATTGACTCACTTTTGGGGCCAGCCTCAAGTGGCTTTTTAAGGAACTGCAGGGTGCAGTTTGGGAAACATCTGCACTGGCTTCATTTTACAGCCACAGAGGTTTTGGTGTTTGGTGTGTGTAACCCTTTTTGGTGAAGCTACAAAATATATAAGAAGCTGTAGTGAACAAATGTGATATTTATCTATGGCTAGTGAGATCAGAAGCTCTAGATACGACTACAGAGCCAAGGATGAACCAAACAACACCCAGGAACAACTCGGATACAGTATCTCTCCTTTGAGAAAGAACTGTTCTTCCCATTTAATAAAAACAGGGAAGGATGAGTAGAAAACACAGTTATACAGTATATAGTACAATTCTTACCCGGGTAAGTATAAAAATAAAAAATAAAAAATACTTCACAGCTGTATCAATGGTCTTTGGATTCAATGTTCAACTTAACCCCTTCAACTCAATCACTTAGTCCTTGTAGCAGATAATACTGCTCAGTCCACTGGAAAAGTGGCAACTGTTTGTCCTACCGCACTGTCGAATGCGTTGACTGTGTGTGTGGAAGCAAAGTTTCTGGGGTTCAGGGTTCCAATCTTCTGCATGCAATCGAGTCTCTAATTCTTTTCCATTGGGCCGTAGCTCGCCATCAAACATCCAAGATCCAACTCCAGGTAGGTCGGGAACTCTCGGGATCCACAAAAAAACCTGACCTATAGTGAATAAGGTCAGAACATTCAAGCTCCTAATCAGTACACCACATAAAGAAGCTAGAATTCAACTTCTAATTTCCCTGACTATTCTCTAAATTACCAGAGAATAACTCATGAAACATTGCAAAGGGTTTCACAATTATTAAAGATCAACATATGTAATAATAAAATCAAAATATTAGAGGATTATGGTTACCAAAATAACCTTTCACTCAAAATTAATTATAAACCAAATATTTCCTCTTTCACATATTCACATTGACCTTCACATATCTCAATTGGCATAAAATAATAACAATATAATAACAAAAGGAAAAAAACATGTACAGCAGCACTACCAGCTATAATCTCAAAATAATTACTAAGTGCAGCTTAATGCACTTTAAAGTGCAACAGTAAGGGTAATTAAACAACAACCAAATCTATTCTAGTGTGTACAATTAGTTTAAAGAAAAAAAGGTTTGGGGGGGGGGCGCAGGAATTTTTTTTTTTTTGTGTGCTTAAAAAGCACAAATTAAGGTCCTTAAATCTACACAAATAACCATACAGCATATAACAATTATGCAAGAGTTACATACACAAAACACATATTACACTGGACCAATTTAGATTTCACTTTCAAATTAACAAAGCTAACATCTTTAGCATAAGTAAATGGCATTACCATAGTGTTTTGTTAGCGCTAGCGATTAGCATGGTCAAAACATCTCTCACCAATGCGTTTTTTCCTCTAGTGAGGACAGGTCCTTCTCGCCGTTCTCTCACGGGATTGCGGTGAAGTTATCCAGCCGTTTTTTTATCAATTTTAATCAACTTTTATAGTTTTTTCTGTCTTTGTTTCACTGCTGTGTGTCTCTATAGCTGCTCTCGCTCCTAGCTGCTCAAGAAAAGGGAATCCCACGTGTGTAGGTCAACTAGGTGGAAGCTGATTGGTCGGCCGAGCCAGCATCTCGACATGCAAAAAGGCTAATGCTAATAAACAGGAAGTAGACGCTGGCAGAGGAAACAACCCTTTCAAAATAACAGCACAGAATATTTCAAAATAACAGCATGGATTATTTAACCTTGGTTACACACAACTGTGCAGGCCTCTGAAATAATTGCAAATTTGGCACTTGCAATTGACCACAAGAAAGTCAGCAGGTTCAATATATCCAGATCTGATGTATGGGATGGAGCTGTAAGAGGCTTTCGTTGCAGCTCATACTCCGAAAAAAGTGAGATCTTTGTGAAGTTCACAGATGATGCAGGGTCTTTAGAAGAAGGGTTAGACACAGGTGGGCCGAGGCAAGAATTCCTCACACTTCTAATGGATCACCTGAGAAATCGTCCCATCTTCGATGGACCTCAAGAAAGACGCTATCTTGTGTACAATCCCACAGGTGGGTTTTTTGACCTTATATTAAAATGAGAAGTTTCAGATAATTTTCTTTTTCTTTTTTTTCTTCCAGTGATATAGATGGTAATTATGTATGATAATTCTGTACTCTCTATAACAGCTGTCAGGGAAGATGAGTATTATCTTGCAGGCAAGATGATTGCTGTGTCCGTCATACACGGGGGACCAGCACCACATTTCCTCTCAAAGGACCTTGTCAACCACATTATAGGGAAGCCAAGTTTCAGCGCCACTGTGGAAGATGTAAAAGATGAGGATATAGGGAGAGCTCTACATCAGGTAGAAAATTATTTTGACTCAAGGAAGGAATTTAGAGGACACCTGAAAATTATTTCATTAATTGAAAGTAAGACTAGACTCAAGAGATGATAAGTTGTACTTATTTAAAGGGACAGATTTCCACTTATTTCAACCAAATGTAAAAGTCATTTCATCTTTTTTTTTTTTAATGCTAGATTTGTATTCATCAAGGACAAGAGTAAACAAGCATGGATGTTTTAGGGTTGGCCTAATAATACATTTCTTTTAAATAGGTCCAGGAAGCCGAATCGGAGGAGTCTTTGCAAAATCTAATTTTGCAAAACAGCACAATGTTCCAAACAGCTGGATGCTTCCGACCTGTCAAAGCTTGTGAGAAGCATACACTTGTGGAGGAGTACCTCAAATGGTACATTATAGACCGCAACCACATTGCCATTCAACGGTAATATTTAAAACCCTTTTTTTCTTTGCCAACAATCATCCAAAAATGTAATAGTTTAGTTTTTAACTTATCCAACATTCAGTCAGTATTACAAATTGCATATCACTGCAGCCACTAACACATTGTGAAACAGTGTCACCAGGTATTTCTGAAATAGCAGGATTGAGGAGCATTCTTACTGGGTTAGATTGTAAAAGTGCAATCTTCAGTTGCTATGTCCTCTTATTGTCCTATTCAGGGAAATGCTGGACAAAACATTTTAATGTATTGAACGATACTAGCTAATATTAGGTTCCATCACTTTTATGATCCACAAAGTACATGTAAGTGTGTAAATCATGAAATACAGTCTGACACTGAGTAAACTTTGTTAAAGACAAATATTTAACTTTTACATGAGCATGTCCACTAGATTCAATTGAAAGTTCTGTCTTATGTACCTTTTGACATGGCGAAACATATTTCAGTTCCCCTGGTTTATTTCTATTCATTATACATAATTACCTAGAGTAACCAGCTAGTACTAATGAAACAAATCAGCTGTTTGAAACCATAAAGGTTCAGTAATTAGCAGCTCAGGTTATGCTCCATTTGACCCTCAAATACCATCCGGCTTATCTGTCTATTTTTCCTTTGTGTGCTTAGTGCTCAAATAAATGTTTGTGCTTTGTTTAGCACACTTCTGTTTCTTACAATGTGAAAGCAAGATTTTTAGGAGATAAGTCCAAATCATGATGATCTCTCCTTTTTTGACATCACAACTAATTTCTGTACACTATGAAATGTTGTCTGTATGATCCCATATAAACAATCTACTTTACCTATACGCATGAGATTATACAATCAGAATTTATGTCAAAATATATTAAATTGTGAAAAAAAGCCACCGCTCATCTGTGGGCAAGATTCTTCTGAGAAGTGCTTGAGCTGAACTTAGACACTAAAAATACAAAAACACCAACCGCACACTCATAATGCTGTGCAATCATTAATTTATTTCTGCAAGCTTTCAGTCTGTGACCTCCTTCAGGCATACACAACAAGTGAAAGCTTCAAGAAATAAATTGATTATTGCACAGCGTTGTGAGTATGCGGTTGCTGTTTTTTTGTTTTTTTTAAATATATTAAATTAAAAGTTTTATCTCTACGTATTTTGCACACATTGCTGTTATATGTTTGGTAGTATTGTTTTCTGTCAGACCTGATAAATCACACCTATGTCTTACAAAATAATTGTCCTTAATAGATTCAAAGACGGACCGGCTAGTCTGGAGTTTTTGGCTTCAGTCCAGAAGCATGCTGGTGTGCTGGCTCCTCTCCTATGCTATTCTGCCAAGGCCCTGACTGCTGCAGAAATAGAACGTCTGTTCATCCCAGGCTTCAGCACAAAGGGAAGCAACAGGTGGCAGAGAGAGACCAAAGTTATCGGATTTTGGGCTGATTTTCTACTGGAATGTGAATGTGAAGGTTTGTCATGGCTATTTTGTTAGACACTTTTACAAATGTTTCTTTAAAAGCATCTCTACATGTATGGTACTCATTTCATTCGAGTTTTTTTTTTTTTTTAAATACCAACACAAACAAGCCATTCTACTTAATGAGACACTGATTAAGTGATCGCCTGAAACACATCTGGTTTTATAGGAAGATTATAAAAACCACTGCTGGGATTAAACATTGACATCATCCCACTAAAACTGATGTATAAACGCATAAGTTAAAATACTCATATTGTGTTGTTTAGCAATGAATATGAACATGTTTTCTTTGCATCATTCAAGGTCTGAAAAGACTTAATATTTTTTGTTATTTTGACTAGTGTCGTGGAAATTTTTAGCAGTTCGTTGTTGCTGAATAATAATAATAATAATAATAATAATAATTCTGCCGGCCGACAAGTTTTTATTTCCTTGCAAGGAAAGGTCAGTCCTCACCCGAGCGGTGATGGTAAAGGAAAGACTCTGAGAATGGGGAGACCTAAACATTTATACCTGAGGAGAGGAAAAAAAAAAAAAAATGTTCCACATCCCTTTGTCTGCTGCAGGGGTCGGCCCCCTCCCCAGAGAGTGTTTTTTACACCCTTTTGTCTGTTGCAGGTATTGGCACCGACCCCCGAGGGTGTGTTTCACACCTGGGGCATCCTGCAGGGTTTTGTGTCTAGGTGGGAAGTTAAGAGGTCTAGACATGAAAATACACAAATGGTCAACAAACAAAAGGAGATCCGATACCTTTGGGGAAAAGCATGGTGTAGGGACATCTCAAGTGATTGAAACATAGACAGATTCAAATTTACCATTACACTAGTTGTCATTTTCTGCCAATAAATGCCCTAAATTACAGTATTTTCATTTAAATTTTGGGAGAAATGTTGTCAGTAGTTAATAGAATAAAACAGAAATGTTCATTTCACTCAAACACCTACCTTAAATAGTAAAACCAGAGAAACTCATCGTTTTCAAGTGGTCTCTTATTTTTTTCCACGACTGTACAGTAGTAGTTTTAGTTTCTTCAATGAAATATAAAGCTAATGAGTAACTATGTTTTTAGATAATGCCGTGTCAAACAATGCACTACTACAATGTTGACTTTCTCTTTTTAGATGAAGTGATGGCTGTGTCCCTCCCAGATGTGCTGATGCTTGCCACTGGCTTGTCAGCACTGCCACCAGCGGGAATAACACTCCATCCAAGTATAGGGTTTTTAAATGACTCGCCGTTTCCAATGGCAACCACATGTTCGAACACACTCAAGCTCCCACTACTCGACTCCTACAGTGTCTTTAGGAAGAATATGGAGTTCCGCATCCAAAATGCGCCAGGCTTTGGGTGTTTTTAGTTGCCAAAGGGACTTTCATGCATAATCACTTTTATTAAAAGTGGTTTGAGCTGTGGTTTGAGCTGTGGCTTGATTTAGGCTGTTTTATTTATTTTTTGTCTTTTATTTTTATCAACTCTCTGGTCAGAATAATGCCTTACAAGGTCATATCTGCTTGTTTGCATCAGTTACTGTACTGCCTCTCTTGTTAAAAGGCCATTTGGGACGTGTCATGTATTAAAGTAAAGTAAAAGTAAAGTAAGGTAAAGTAAAACCAGTGTGAGTGCTTCTTACGTTGTTCAAATCTGTGTTAGCTACTTGCATAGCATTAAAATCTCAGAGTGGTGTCCTGATTTTTGTTTATTGTCATTGCTGTTTCCTGTTTTTTACAGCTCTACATATATTTAAAAAAAATAAAATAAAAAATCAGAACAAATGCTTTTTGTAAGTAATTGTTGCTTACATGAAGATTGAATCAGAAAATAAATACAACTTTAAGTGTAAAATGTCTCCATTTCAGTCCCACAGTTCAAGTTGCCAAATCTGAAAATTCAAAAGAAACACTTTTGGTATATTATCTTGTGATTTATCTCTTGAAGCAGTTTGTAAATGTTGGATCACATTTATGAATGGGAAGTGTTTTTCAAAACTCAGGCATGTATAGTCCACCAGTCATTTACTGATAAGCATTAAGATGCATTAAAGCAAAACACTAAATAAGGAAAATATTGTCTTAATACGTCCATGTTAATGTGGGATACCTAAGAAAGGTAGAAACTGGTTCCAATAGTCCATATCTATAGCCCAGCTATTTCCTTCAGAGTGATGTACAGTTCTGAGGCTGTCTTCCAGTCTTGTGGCTGTTGTAGTCCGTGTTGTTCCACTGCCTGTTGTAGGTATTCCTCGATGTCTGGATCACTGCTTAAATCAATCACTTGCCTTGCCTCAGGAAACACATCCACTTCCCTGTCTTCAACAGCAAATCCACAGTCCCTTGAACCAAATCTGCAAAATTAGATGATACAATGATATAAAGCACAAGGTTTGAAATGGTCATTGTTAGATTTGTTTGCTTGTTGATATCAGATATTTATAAACAATGGTAGAGACAGATAGCTTCTAAATTCAACAATGGATTATATCAACATGTACAATTGTCCAAATATATCCCAGTTTAGGCTATACCACAACACCTTGCATTTTTTGTAATGTATATGATCATTACTACCTGAGATCATTCGGAATCCCTCCTGGACATGATGCATGTCTGCTTGGTCAAATCCGGTGCTTGTTCCATAGGTCCATACATTCATCCAGGTCTTGCTGCAGAACATTACTGAAGCAAAATCTCAGTAAGCACTGGTGTTCGTGGCTGCCATTGAAGATTCCAGAGTCTCTTAGGTCTCCAAACAAGTCCATCCAAAACTGAGACCTGGGGATGCATTATAATAAATAATAATACATTGTTATTTATAATGCGTTGTTACAAGTGCTCAAAGAGGCTTACATACAAATAACACCATTTAAATGTGGATACATCTTAACAAAAGCATCACAGAGAAATCATAATGTATATCATATGATTATTACAACAGTAGTGATTCAATAACTTTGGGAAAAATATGGCTTCCTATGTTCATTATTAGGCTATCACTTAGTGTTTAAGTGGCCTGAGTTAAACAAGAACACTAATAATAATCACAATGACAAATACGGAGATTTTAATAATAAACACTGATCAGTGTAATAGAGACAAAGGTGATCACTATACAGCTTCCACTGTACTTTTCATCCATCAAACAACACAGATGTACCAACCTCCCTCTTCTGAAAAAAGACCACCATGACTCGATGCGCTGATTCGATGTTGATGAGCCGTAACTGTGGCTAGACGAGCCTGCATAGTGGTCCATATGCGCGTGACGTAGGGTACATTGTATTGCTGCCATGGTCCCATTTTCTGTTCCGAGGTCAGTTCTCAATCTCATTGGAACCACACCAATACTCTTGGCACAATTAATATAATTGTGAGTAATGACAGATGGATTATTGTTCGTTGGTCCACAAACAAGCTACATTATTTTTCTCGAAAAGCCATCGATACATCCTGAGAGTGCCAGGCCAAATGGTTTTAGTTTATCATATCCATCTACATGCCATATGTAGTTTGGACCCATGGAGTGATACGTGCATCTTGTAAACCTTGTGCGTGTTCTCAAAGCCGTCCCTCGTGGATTCAGCTGTTTCAGTAGCCTCATTACGACATCACGTTTAACACGAAGCCTGTGCTTTTGTGAAGAGAACTTGACACATAGTCCGATAACCGAAGAGTTTCCCTGGTCCTTCCAGCTCTGTCAGAATGGCACGCCTCACCTCAGGGAGTGGGGAATAGTTGCGTCTTCTGTACAGCCCTGCTTCTTTTAAACACGTCTTCAGCGTACGCAGAGTCATGTTTACGTTGTGAAATGTCGACAGCATATCCAGTATCACGTCATATTCATGTCCGGCATCAAAGTATTGCTTAATAGCAGCGTGTACCTCGTCATTTGTGGCGCTCATGATTTGGAAAAATGGAAACAAACCCCGTCTTTCCGGTTCAAAGGACGGAC